TTTTTTTATTTCGTTCTTTTTTTTTCAAATATTTCTCGTCATCACTTGAGACTCAATTTAATACAACTTGATTTTTAGTTTCTTTTTTTATTCAAGCACTAAGAGAAGGGATTTAAGTCATAGAAAACTACAACTACTCTGAATAGATGCATCATGGACTTCGTCGTCATACCTTTTTGCCTTCGTCTTCATTTATTTTATGGTTTTGAGAAATTGCCATAGACATTGATAGTCAATTGTGAAAATGGAAAATCCATAGATGTGGTCGATTCATTCAGTCGCTCATTCAGGCTTCTAACTCTTAAGTACTTCTTCTTATTGTTGTTATTGTTGATATTTTGGAATTTATTAAAAACCATTATAATGGTACAAGTCAGCAGTAATATGAGAGAAGAAAAAACATTTTTTTTTATTTAATGATTCCTTTGAGATTTGTTTTTTAATTCTTTTGTAAAAAGAAAATTGAAATTTCAATATACACTTGTTTCGTGTTCAAGTGATTATTCTTTATGATCGAATTTTAACATGTTTGTTGATTGCTATTAAGTTCATATCAATGCATTTTATAGAAGATTGCGTGGACCAGCATGGAAAATGGAAATATTATTATATCGCCAAGTTAATTTAGTTTAACAAACATTAGATCCGTATAACTAAACTCTATACCGCCATCGGAAAACAAAATTTAAAGTTATTACAATCTAATCTTCAGAAACTAGGTTTTCTGGTCATAGTTCCTTAGAATTTTCCAACCAGTGTCGCTGAGGGATGCAATGTGTTAAATAACAGTTAGATATCTCCAAGGATATTTGGTTCTTATTTAAACCAAAGTCTGACAATGGCAAAGGTAGCGTTCTCTACATTCGTTTGAAACCGTTAGTTCAATTTTCGTTAACCTATGTGGACCAACCACCGTTCCATTATTGCCACTATCATTCTCCAGCCTTTGATATTATTCTGAACAACGTTCCGTGGAATTGTTTTGTGTTCATTATGTTAACTTCCTCAAGCTCTCTTCCTTTCTAGTTTTCGGATTTTCAGTGTTGACACCCATACCCGTTTTGTCTCCCACTTCAGAACTATCCGCGTAACAAAAAAATTGCACTTGACCGCTCCGTTCCGCTCCTATCTGAGATTAATGACTTACACTTTCGGAAATTTTCGGTGCAATCGGCCTGGTCTTGTTTGTCTATAACTGTTCAATATGTCTAGAACACATTGATGATGTATCCTGTAATCGGTTTCAGTCAATTCGCCTAAAGACTGTGTGTCGCTTTGTACCATTCATGTGTTTCGATTGGTTTAATGTTCAGAAAAGTTTTGAAAGCTTTTATAGACGTAGTTCTTATGGATTCACCGTCACCCAAGCAACATATATATCACTTTCTGTAGTGATATTATGTTACACTTTTTGTCATTGGCGGTTTATCAGACTATAGAAGCATAGGTTTGAACTGGTCTATAAAGGCTAAGAACCCATTTCGATCATACGGTTCTCCAGCATAGCGCCTAACATCGAAATGCCTTTTTGGTTTTATCCTCTATGTATTATTTAAAATTTAGTTTCCGAGCAAGGTATTCATTCCTGTCGGTCACTGATATCGGAAATGTACGAGAAACGGGGATCAGTAAAAACAGGAATTTTCGAATTTCTAGTGAAAAGATCAATTTCTATTTTAGTTTGGGTGATATTCAGCGATACCGAAAGCGGTATTTAGGACCATCTCGGCCTTTCTGCATAAATAATTTGGGTCCTTGCCCCTTAAATATGTATATAATGACATCATTTGCGTAACATACTGGTCTAAACTCCTTATTCGTTAAGGTCCATAGGAGGCTTTAAGGTTACCCAGAAAAATGACGATAAAATCCCGCCCTAGGGTGTACAGGGAAATACCATTTTTATTATGGGATCGTTTTTCCCTTTTAAGATTTGGGAATAAATACTACCCCTGCTTTCTGTCTTCTAAGATAAGTTGAAACTTATACCGACTCCATCTGCAATAATGACGTGAAAATATCATCCGGCCCTACTATCTTATATGGTGCACTCTTGACCATGCAATCTGTAACAATGGTTTCGATGATAACCTCCATTCATTGGCGTCTACATCCTCGCTTTTTAAATCCACCATCAAAAAAGATGGGGGTGTATTGTTTTTGTCATTCCGTTTGTAACACATCGAAATATTCGCTTAAAAGTCGGTCCATATTTGACTCTATCCCCAATATAAGGTTACTTTCAGAAAATATTTATAACGCTCATTATTGGCTCAGAAATGCGAGTACAGCGATGAAATTCGATATAAACAAGTTTTGGTATGAGTTAAAATCTATCTACTAACTTTTGTGAGGATCGGTCCATTATTGGCCGTACCACCCATATAAGGTCCCCTTCAGAAATTTACTTTAACACTTATTTCTGGCTCAGATATGACAGTACAGCTATGAAATTCGGCATAAACAAGTTTTGTGTGTGCCAAAATCTTTCTACTAACTTCTGTGAGGATCGGTCCATAATTGACCCTACTCCCCAAATTAGGTCCCCTTCAAAAAATTACTTTAACGATGCCGTGGGCATCATCGTTGATAACGATCATCTTTCTCTGGTTCTTAGAAAATGACCACTCCAGCTATTCTGTAGAAAACGATTGTTAAACAACCTTTTTGTGAGTTAGTCATCACCTTCTCGTATATACAATGCGAGACCTCCATGTGGCTTGCAGTGGATAAAGTGGACACCATTATAGATAGTTCCTTGATGTTGTAACAGATCGACTATCTCGTTAAGTTCTTTTTGGTTGGTACAGCCGTCGCCGACTTGCCAACATTTGGCTTAGTATTACTCAGATTATTACGGAACGTTAATTCAATTGCAATGTTCCAATTCGTGGAAACGGGTACTCCCATGTCGTGGCTAGTGGTGGTAACAGACCTTTCAATAGGTCACAATAGGAGACAACTTTAGAGGTGAAATAAGCCGAGACTAGTCTAGGAATTCTGATTTAATTAAAGTGTATTTAGAAAATCTTTTGCTCTATATCTGAGTAACGTTCCTTTAGAAAAGTAGGTAGAACTTTGCTCAGTAACTGAGTAAAGTTTCTATAGAAAATCTTTTGCTCAGTAACGGAATTAAGTTCCTTTGGTAGAACTTTGCTCAGTAACAGAGTAAAGTTTCTTTGGTAGAATTTTGCTCAGTAACTGAGTAAAGTTTCTGAAGGTCTCTTTTGCTCAGATACTGAGTAAAGTTTCTTTGGTAGAACTTTGCTCAATAACTGAGTAAAGTTTTTGATGTCTTTGGCTCAGTTACTGAGTAAAGTTTCTTTGGCATTCTAACTGAGTAAATTTTCTTTAGAAAATCGTTTGCTCAGTAACTGAGTAACAAGTTTCTTTAGAAAATCTTTTACTCAGTAACTAAGTAAACTTTCTTTGGTAGAACTTCGTTCTTTAATAATTGACTAAAGTTTCTTTGGTAGAATTTTGCTCTGTAACTGATAAAAGTTTCTTTAGAAAATCTTTTGCTTAGGTCCTGCCAGCACATTTTCTTTGCATTTATTAATTATTCCTAAAACTTATAAATCAATATTGTTACAAAAAAATACAACTTATTTGGAATAATAATTTGAATCTGTGTTTAGAAATTATTTTTTTTCCGGCAGCATTAAGAATGAGAACTTAAAAAAAAATCTACTAATGACCAGTGCCTGCAGTCAAACCCATAATGTAGTGTTGCAAATTTATAAACCCTAAACGAATGCAAAAACAATAAGTATTTATTTGTTGTTCAGTTGCATGCATAATTGCAGAAGAATTGTTTAAAAAGTATTGTCGGTGGTGGTGATGATGATGGTGGGAATAGAGAAAACAAAAACATTTCAAGCAAAGATTGCATTTTTAGTGGCCGCAAGCGTGATTTAGTGAATGCAATGCAATACAAAATTTGGGAAAAATATTTGTATGTGGTCATGTAGTGGTGCAAAATTTTACTCACACACAAATGCATTAGTAAACAACAACAATATGTTTACAAATTATTCATATATGTTGGGGCATTTGTTGGTTAGGGTAACTAGTATGAGTTTTAGGGATATGGTGGGTACATTGCACTAAGGAATGTCCTGCTAAAACTTAATGAGTTATTTTTTTTTTTTGTTGGTATTCGTTTTGTTAGTTAATTTGTCCGTTCTTTTTTGAATAGAAAAATTTTCTTTATTTATTTGTTTCATTAGTGGTTGTGTATATTTTGGAATTTTTTAATTTAAAAAACATTTACACACACACACACACATACACTCCCATACTTTTATGTCCTGCTGTAAACACACTTATTTAAATAATACGCGGTTGAATTGTTTAGTTTTGATAAAAAAAAAACGTTTCCATGTTTTGTGGTCATTATATGTGAAAATTGCTTTCTTTACAATTTTATTCCTTGTTTTTTCATCTCAGGCAAATGGCCAAAATTAAAAACATGTATAAACATTATAAAAATATACAAATTGCAAATAAATTGAGTGACATTTTAATAAAAAGGACATTGTTTTGTTGGTTTTCTTAATAATGCACATTTTTTGTTTTGTTAGACAAGCGCCACAAGGATTTTTTTTGGGAAGGCGTTATACAAATAAGGAAAGGGTAGAGACAAATTGTGTTTGTGGTAAATTTAATGAAACGAAAGCATATCCAAACTGTTCAGAGTTTTTCGATGCGAAGTTTAATAGCAGACCTCATAAACACTTCCACACATACTCGGCCAAAGATTGTCAACCCAGCGACAGCTGTATCAACCGAAAGTTTTTTCCATAGGAAAGAACTATCGGCCACAGTCGAACTGTTACAACAACAACAACACTTCCTCAAACATTCAAGCCTATGTTGTGATCACTTTTATTTCCTTGAAAATACGATCGATTAGGTCGGAAACCTTGATACAACTTAAGTCCCTTATAACTTCATTAATACACATGTAAATCTTTGGAATCAGTGGTTAAGTTACTTACTTGCTCTTAAAAACTTTCGAACATTCAGCACAGGGAAATACTTTCTCTACCTTAGCCGGAACTGTAACAACCTCAGCCATATTAGTAGACTTTTTAGAACTTCCGCCACCATCACCATGAATATTTTTAATATGATCTTTAAGATTATTAGGACGTGAAAAAGCAGTATCACACTGATCGCATTTAAAGAGTTTTTCCTTTGTATGATTTTGTAAATGAAAGCGTAGAGATTGTTTGCGAAATGATTTCTCACAGAGAGGGCAAGGAAGTAGTTGATTCTTAGCCACATTGGTATACGAATGAAAGACACGATGATAGAGCAGTTCGGATTGGTAGGGGGCTCTGAAATATATATATAAGTTATTGCAAAAGTATATGTAAAGTATCTGAGACACTTACTTAAAATCACACAAATCGCAAAGCCAGATTTTCTCTCCTTGTTCCGTTATTGTTTGAGTTAATTGCGAGACTTGTTTGACCTCGTCCGCTGAGACCATCGCAATGGGTTTGCAAACTCTAGAATGTCTTCCGAGTTCTTGGGCAGAGGCAAAACTTTTGCAGCATAAAATGCAAATGTGTGAAGAATTGCTGTGATCTTTATGACTATCCAATTGGAGTTCATCTCTAGTAGAAGTTGTCAATGCTAATGATGTCTCAGTTGTGGCAGAAATTTTCAGTTTGGCTTGCTCACTTGTACTTGGATTTTCATCCAATACAGCTATCTGTAATTGCACAGTCTTCCTGGTACTTTGTCCAGGATTTAATAAGAACATATTACAAATTTATTTCAAAATAATAAAGCGAAAATTCTTACCTTTTTTCAAGTTTTAAGTCAAATAATCCTTTTATTTCTTCTTCCTTTATTCTCTCCTGATTCAAAGCTAAAGCCTTTTGCTTGTGTTCTAAGGTCTTACGATGTCTTCTTGCCTTACAGGGACTATTAAATTCCAAAGAGCATATGGAGCAGAAATATTTAGAAACCAAATGTTTATACTTTTCATGCCTTTGTAGGGCAATTTTCGAAGGCAAAACTTCGGGACATGCAGCACATCTAAATTTCGATTGATATACATCCGAAGCAGAGCCCATAAAATCCAAACTAGGATGAGTGCTCAAAAAATGACGTCTTAGTTCAAAATTAAAACGAAATGATTGACCACATTTGGGACAATCGATACTCAATCTTTTGCTTATACAAACCGGTACAGAACGATTGATTGCCAGCAGAACCTCCTTATGTTCAGGACCCAATAAATGTCTTCTCATTTGATTATTATCTTCACACTCAAATTGACAATATGAACACCAAAAACGGCCGGGACCCTCGGAAGCATCCAAATGAGAAGCTGAATTCCAGTGAAGCAAAAATGCCTCCTCAGTATTGGCATAAAATCGACAGGGACGACATTGAAATGGTGATTGCAAAACAATGGCATGAATGTTTTCTAAAATCATGTGCAAGGATATGTCGGGATGTAGCTGCATACGCCGATAATGATAATGAGAAATCAAATGTTTTCCTATTAAATGCCTAACCATGACATGTTTACAGAGGCTGCACTTCAAATAGGTAGATCTTCTTTTCCGCTTTTTACTATTCATAGACAGAGTAATGGAAAGCGGCTTGAATTCCATGATGGAAAAACTTTTCTTGATATCGGCTCGTGGCAACTCAGCAATGGCGGCCTTCTCCAGCTGTAGTTCTGGTTCGGATCTCTTTAAATGATAAGAGGACTTCAAATGATTTTCATAAATAGTTTTACTTTTCAGTTTGCGGCAACAAATGTTGCACCAATAATCCTGCATTGTATTACTGCATTTGGCCAATTCCACCACTTCTTCTTTATACTCCAATCTCTGAAGCTTAGTACCTGGCACCCATTTTCCCTTAGTGTGATCAGAGGGAGGATGTTGCCCTTCCTGAGCATCCATATCATCCATGTGATCATCCCAGTTGGGTGATAATCTAGAGAGTTGTGAGTGTGCTACTCTAAGATTGGGACGATGTTCGGGTTTCCATTTACCTCCTGTATGTGAAACTGGTACCACAGGTGGTGACTGTCGCATTAAGGGTAATTTCCATTTTCCTCCCGAGCCATGAGCCTCTACCATAGGATCATAATCCTCATCGTCATCTTCCATATCAACATCTACTTCATCTTCCTCCTCTTCTTCGGACACTTCCGGTGATTCGTGTTCAAATGTTATGGGTTTAAATATAGTTTCAAATGATTTCTTTGACTCTCCCATATCATTAACCGCTTTGAGAAAATGTTCATTACTTTCTGGAGCTGGTTCTGGAGGTTGAGGATTAATCCAGGTAGGATCAACTGCTGTTGCAGATGGCGTATCTTGCTGTAAAGATTTTTGTCTAGTAAATGGTCCAGCCTGGGAATGGGTACTACCTGTTTTACCACCACTAGTTGAGGGAACCGAGGATTGCACACTTTGTAATTGTAAGGATGAGAAGAAGACATCAGCTTCCAATTCATAAGGCAATTCATAACTTTCTCCCAAAGCTTTGGAAGTTTTACCACCGTGGCTAGGTGGATTTGTAGGTTCGTTAAAGTTAAATGGTTCATAGTTAACTTCTGGAGTAACTTGTGCTATTGTTGTGGTAACCGGTGTAGATTGCTGTTGTTGTGGTGTGGTTGCGGTAGTTGTGATCGCGATTTTAGTTGTTTGTTGAGGAGTGGAAGTTGTTGGAATCGTGCATTTCTGTTTGCGATGTTGTATATAGTTTTCTAGACCCACAATTGTTCGACTGCATTTGATGCAGAGATGGGTATCGTCTAAATCGTGATCCATTTGAGGAAAGTTTCTGTAAAAGAAGATATAGATAATTACATAAGTAGATTCAGGAGTTGTGTTAAAATATCTTTTAATAGAACTGAACTAGAACTGAACTAGAACTGAACTAGAACTGAACTAGAACTGAAACTAGAACTGAACTAGAACTGAACTAGAACTAAACTAGAACTGAACTAGAACTGAACTAGAACTGAACTAGAACTGAACTAGAACTGAACTAGAACTGAACTAGAGCTGAACTAGAACTGAACTAGAACTGAACTAGAACTGAACTAGAACTGAACTAGAACTGAACTAGAACTGAACTAGAACTGAACTAGAACTGAACTAGAACTGAACTAGAACTGAACTAGAACTGAACTAGAACTGAACTAGAACTGAACTAGAACTGAACTAGAACTGAACTAGAACTGAACTAGAACTGAACTAGAACTGAACTAGAACTGAACTAGAACTGAACTAGAACTGAACTAGAACTGAACTAGAACTGAACTAGAACTAGAACTGAACTAGAACTGAACTAGAACTGAACTAGAACTGAACTAGAACTGAACTAGAACTGAACTAGAACTGAACTAGAACTGAACTAGAACTGAACTAGAACTGAACTAGAACTGAACTAGAACTGAACTAGAACTGAACTAGAACTGAACTAGAACTGAACTAGAACTGAACTAGAACTGAACTAGAACTGAACTAGAACTGAACTAGAACTGAACTAGAACTGAACTAGAACTGAACTAGAACTGAACTAGAACTGAACTAGAACTGAACTAGAACTGAACTAGAACTGAACTAGAACTGAACTAGAACTGAACTAGAACTGAACTAGAACTGAACTAGAACTGAACTAGAACTGAACTAGATCTGAACTAGAACTGAACTAGAACTGAACTGAACTAGAACTGAACTAGAACTGAACTAGAACTGAACTAGAACTGAACTAGAACTGAACTAGAACTGAACTAGAACTGAACTAGACTGAACTAGAACTGAACTAGAACTGAACTAGAACTGAACTAGAACTGAACTAGAACTGAACTAGAACTGAACTAGAACTGAACTAGAACTGAACTAGAACTGAACTAGAACTGAACTAGAACTGAACTAGAACTGAACTAGAACTGAACTAGAACTGAACTAGAACTGAACTAGAACTGAACTAGAACTGAACTAGAACTGAACTAGAACTGAACTAGAACTGAACTAGAACTGAACTAGAACTGAACTAGAACTGAACTAGAACTGAACTAGAACTGAACTAGAACTGAACTAGAACTGAACTAGAACTGAACTAGAACTGAACTAGAACTGAACTAGAACTGAACTAGAACTGAACTAGAACTGAACTAGAACTGAACTAGAACTGAACTAGAACTGAACTAGAACTGAACTAGAACTGAACTAGAACTGAACTAGAACTGAACTAGAACTGAACTAGAACTGAACTAGAACTGAACTAGAACTGAACTAGAACTGAACTAGAACTGAACTAGAACTGAACTAGAACTGAACTAGAACTGAACTAGAACTGAACTAGAACTGAACTAGAACTGAACTAGAACTGAACTAGAACTGAACTAGAACTGAACTAGAACTGAACTAGAACTGAACTAGAACTGAACTAGAACTGAACTAGAACTGAACTAGAACTAGAACTGACTAGAAACTGAACTAGAACTGAACTAGAACTGAACTAGAACTGAACTAGAACTGAACTAGAACTGAACTAGAACTGAACTAGAAACTGAACTAGACTGAACTACTGAACTAGACTGAACTAGAACTGAACTAGAACTGAACTAGAACTGAACTAGAACTGACTAGAACTAGAACTGAACTAGAACTGAACTAGAACTGAACTAGAACTGAACTAGAACTGAACTAGAACTGAACTAGAACTGAACTAGAACTAAAGCCAGAAGTAGTCGCAACTGTCTTCAAAATGCAGAAATTACTTTCCTGAAAGCTTTTCATGACTAGAACCTAAACTATTAGTTTTAACAACTGCCTGAAGTCCAAGAGCCACCTGTTTTAACATTAATGCCCCAATAAAACAATATCAATTGCTGCAAATTTTTTAAATTACAATATGACAAATACATTTTAAAATAAATAATTGTCTACCCCCGTTTAAACACCCAAACAAATCTTATACCACAGAACTGCAAAGTTGTTTTTCTTACCACAATCCAAGCGACATGTTTTCACTTGAGAAAAAACTTACGTTTTCTTGCACCTTAATCTTAAGGATAAACACCTCGCTCATTATCACCATGATGTACGATAATATGAAATTCCATATCAAATTTATTAACAAACTGATCATGCAAATATCCATGTAATCAGACAGATATATCTGCACTCGTATATGAAATGAGATTAGACAATCATGTTGTTTAATTGCCCATAGATTATGAGATCATTTGAAATGATACAAAGGAATGATCGTACAAGACGCCCCTGTGGTAAGTTTTGAGTGTAAGTATAAAAGAGAAACAAAAAAAAAAAAAAGATCTAAGGAGAAGAAAGTCATATCTAATCATGTGCGTACAAATTATGTGTATAACTTTGCAATGGAAAAACAAGCGGTCGGTCTATTTCCCTTTACTTATTTGGTTTTGGTGTGATCAGAGAAAAATCAGTTACTGATTCATGAGCCATCCAAGACAACGACGACAGCGACAACTTTATATGCCGCTTGTAAAGTATGAAGGCTAAATTGGTTGGCAAGCAGGCTGGCTGGCTGAGAACGGGTTTCTCCTTATTGGAGATTGCTTAGCGAGCTGACTAAGTTGGATGCTGGGGATTAAGCTGGGGAATTAAATTTATTGAGAATTGACTCATTGTGGTAATATTCATAATTTAAGACATTCTATTTACCAAAAAATAAAAGAAATCACATAATACGCAGACTCAACTCATGCTGCGGTAGTAGTTCACCATAAATTCTCAGCTCTTTTGAACGGCAAAGAAAAACGGAATCAAAAAAGCATTACACTTTTAGATGATTGAGTTTTAAAACTGAATTTGTAGTTTAGTCGCTGCAGTTCATACGTTTTTAGCCGGCTGGCTGGTTGGTTGGCTGATCAGTCGGCATGAATGAAAGCTCAGTCATAATGGCTTGAAAGTGTTATTTGTTACCACCGCATTGTCATAAGTTGTTGCGAAATTGTTGTGTTATTAAACCTGCTGAGATTCAATACACTTAATCTCGTTGACTAAGGCAGCACAAACTATCTCGGCAATATACAGATAAACCAACAAATTAAAAAAAAAACTGAAACGTTCATCTTCTGCTGCAGCTAGAAATTGAAATGCGTTTGTGGCACATATATTCACGTAAAAGCCTTGTAACTCAGAAATCATTAAATGAAACAGCCTGCTCGCTGTAAGGAATGAATGAACAATCAACCCAACCCATGCCAACATATAAAAATCAAACCAAACAACCGTCCCAACAACCAACCAACTAACTAACTGTCTGTCTTTCACTCTGTCCGTCCGTCTGTCTGTCCGTCCATCCAACCAACCATCGGTTCAGATTGTTTATGAATTTGTAGGTTGGCGTGAAATATAGACACGAAATGTATCTTCTCTAGTAACGCAATCGTCTTAATGCGAATATGAATTTTTTTCTTTTCGATACAATAAAAATGAATAAATTGAACAAATGAATGAGCAAGAGAACAACGAACGAATGGACGACGATGAAGACTGACTGACTGAATGAATGAATTGTTGTTCCTCATTTCCAAGTAGGAATTGTTGTGTTTGTTATTATTGTTGCCTACAATTGCCTGAGAACACTTAAAAAATGTTGTCTAAATTATTGCTAATGATTTGTTGTTAATATGGCTCATAATTTTCTTGTCATTCAATGGTTATGGCTAAAATACTCTTAACTCTTCTATATGGTTTATTGTAGTTTATTAAAATCTTTAATAAATGACACATAATTTACGAAACAATTTACATTTGAATGTTTAATTTGCAAGTGTAATAAATACTTCAAGTGAGTTGTAATAAAAATTGTTTTAATTTGATTTGTATTAATTTTATTTAAATATATACGTAAGTTAATGGATCTTCTTAGTTTCTGGACTAAGAGCCAGGTACTAGGGAAAATTGTAATAATCTGCAGGGTGTGGCAAAGAACACGTTGAAAAGTAAAATCGAGTAAATCTAAATCATAATTATAAGTTCATCTACTTGGGACTTCCAATTATCTTTAAAATTGTGATCTACATATAGTTTGATTTCAAGGTTAACATGGACCAAAGGACAATCATTAAAAATCTATTGGTATTAGTTGAGGGCATTACCTTGGGCGCTAGGGCATGTCACTCACAGAGAAGGTCACTCCTTTCGCTGCAATTGCGACTATAGCTCCTTGCTATAGTAGTCTTTTTGCAGAGGTACAAAACTGAGGTGATGTTAGACGACCATGTCTTGACTGATCATTCTTACATTGTCTGATCTAAAGGATTGTGATAGGTTCGATCTTGCTAATCATGTGCTGCCCAAAAGAAAGAATGTTAAGATAGCACAGATTATGAAAGGGACTATGTCTGTTATTGCCTCGTCTTTCCCCTAATGCCCACATACTCTGGAAACCCATATCGATGTGGAAAAGTACAGTCTAAGATAGTATAGAAAGTGAATGGAATTGAGAAGATATATAACCCCAACATCGCACCTGCTGAATCTGTAATCTCGAGAAAGACTCAGGTATATGCATAGTCATAAGCAACGCTGTAGCGTCCTCATCCTCTTACGATCCGCTCAGATGGTATTCACAACCATTAGTCGCACAACCATATCACGAAGCCCTGTTGATTCGACAACAGCACTTAGAGACATATTTGGTAGTACGAAATACCGAGAATAATAGATCAGAATCCCTCTATATGTAGTGATCTGCGTGACAAAGGATGTAGGAATTTCCAAGCCAACTGAACCCAAAAATTGCTCCGACAACTAATCGCTTAGAATGAAACAATATATACT